GGCTAGCCTGCCAACTTAGTGAGACCCCATCTCACAATATAGTTAAAAAAGGGCTGGGAATGTTGCTCTAGCATGCAGGAGTCCTTGGGTTCAATCCCCAGTACTGCAAAAAAAAAAAAAAAAAAAAAAAAACAACCCCAAACCTCGAAAACTCAGCCAGATGTGCTTCAATATGTTATCTATAGCCCCCCCCCCAAGTTTTGTTTTTTTTTTTTTTTTTTCTTTTTTTTTTTTAGTGCTGGGGATTGAACCTAAGACTTGCCCATGCTAGGCAAATGCTATACTACTGAACAATACCTCTAAACCCCCACACATTTTTTGTTTGCAGTTTTTGCTTCTTTGCTTCTACAGTGATAGAAATATTGTATTTTTGCACTGTTCAACATAGTAGCCCCTGCTCATATATAGCTATCGAGGGGCTTGCAGTGTGGCTAATGTGATCTAGGAACTGAATATTTAATTTTATTTTTGTTAATTTATATTTTAAAGAGCCACATTTAGCTAGTAGCTTCTGTATTGCATGGTCCAATTCTAAATGTTAAAAATGTTATTGTAGATCAAAAAATTACTTGATTATACTATAATTTCACACTTTTCCTACATGCTTTTTCTCTTTATTGGGTTTTCTCATGTATTTATTTTATATTATTATATGTTTATTTATAATAGCCTCATGTTTTGTGGAGTTATGTGAGATATAAAAGCACAAATAACTATTCATGAAGAGGTTTTAGGATGAACATGTGGAAAGGGAGGCAATACCTGTAGAGATAGTTCAGTTCAGTTGAGATAGTATCTACCAAGCACTGCTGGATATAGGTCTGTGGTCTGTGTCAAATACTATGGGAGGTACAGAATGAAAAACCCTTTACAAATATTACTTAATGTGTGTCATCCCCTTCCTATCCCCAGATGGTAAGTTCCGTGAGGGCAGGGGGAATATTTTCATTTGGGATGATATTTCTTTCTTCCCTGGTGTCATAAACCTTGCAGAACACCCGGCTATGGGTCTGGGAGTTTATTCCTAGTCCTTCCCGCCTGCTCTTCAGTATATAGGATTCTGTCAAGGGTCTGTTTTTGGTACCTCTGCCTGACCTGAAGGAGCTGGGTGTCTGGAAGGAAGAAGTACCACTTAGCCCATTTGTCTCTAGGTAAGAGAGAGTAGAGTGCTATCTCCCAATAGCCTCCAGGCACATTTGGGAACTGGTCGGGCAGATCTGACTGCTTACTGGTGACTGATTATTCTTTAGCCTGAGAAAGCAGGAATGTGACAAGTGGAGGTGGTAAAAGGCCTGTCAAGGCACCTGTTATGATTGATGCTAATCTCAGAGGCATCCCTGACAAGGCTCTCTCTTTACCATTTTCCATAGCTTTTGGAGTGCTAGGAAGTAGGGAAGAGACTGGCAGTTGGTGCTGCTGCTGATGGTTGTGTGTATGAGAGAGAGAGAGTGAGAGAGAGAGAGAGCGAGCGAGCGAGCGAGCACCAGACTGTGTAGATTTCCATTTTTTCTATTGATGTCTTCTTTTCTGTTCCAGGCAGGATCCAATCTAGGCTTCCCATTGTGAATAATGTTGCAATGAACATGAGTGTTCAGATATCTCTTTGACATACGGATTTAGAATCTTTTGTGTACATGTTAGTTGTCATGTTTCTCCTGTCTCCTCTGGTCTGTGACCATTTCTTAGTCTTTTTTTTTTTTGTGTGTGTATGTTAGTGTTTGAACCTAGGGTCTCATATGTATTAAGTATGTGCTGTACCCAATCTCATTTCCTTGTTTTTTTTTTTTTTTTTAATGACCTTAATAGTCTTGAGGAGTCCTGGCTAGGGTATCCTGTAAAATGTCCTCAGATATGGGTTTGACTGGTATTTTTTCTCATGGTTACAATGGAGTGGTACCTCAGAGGTGAGTTGCCCTTCTCATTATATCATATTGGGATAGATGAGACCTGCAGGACATGCCTGTGATGGTAACCTTTATCATTTGGTCATGTTGTATTTGCCAGCTATCTCCACTGTGAATTTACTTTTTCCCTCTTTTATGCTCTACTCTTTGCAAGCAAGTCACTAAATTTAGCTAACAGTAAAGAAGATAAGGGGAATATCTACATATGTTAAATGGAACCTCTGTAAGGAAGATTTTGGGTGGGGATATTAAGATGAAACACATCATAGATTAATATCATCCTTTTTGACTGTTTACTAGATTTCTACCTGTGGTGACTACCATTCTGTTCATCCTGCCTTTTCTTTTTGTTTACCATTAGTCTTATTTCAAAAATGTACTCCATGTGGATTGTGGAACTAAATGCAACCTCTAGAATAAAAATGTGCCTACATGGGGAAAATTCAGGAAATCAAAAAATAAGATAGGATTCAATATAAGGACTTGTAATTAGTACTTTATGTTACATTTAGCTCTGAACTTTTATTTTTTGGAACTAGGGAATGAACCCAGCACTTAACCACTGAACTATATCCCCAGCCTCTGCTCCCCACTCCCCTTTTTTTTTTTCATTTTTATAATTTTGAGACAGAGTCACATTAAGTTGCTGAGACTGGCTTTGAAAATTGCTATCCTCCTGCCTCAGCCTCCCAAGCCTCTGAGATTATAGGCGTGTGTCACTGTGCCTGAGTGGTCAGAAGATAAAGACAAACCAATTCTTCAGGAGAAGCATAACTTTTCCTCTTATTAAGATCTGAGGAAAATATGCATCTTCATTAAAGGCAGATTGTGTGTGATGCAGAACAGGGATCAGGCAACTATGGGGCAAATTTGGCCCATCATCTTGCTTTTGTAAATAAAGTTTTATTGGAATGGAGCCATGCCCATTCATTTACATATCATCTGTGACTGCTTTGGTGCTTGTGCAAAGTTGAATAGTTGTATGAGAGACCAGGTGGCCCTCAAAATCTAGTATGTTTACTATCTGGTCCTTTATAGAAAATGTTTGCCAACTTACGATTTAGAGAATAACTCTTTAACCACATCTCTACCAGAATAAAGAATCATGTACATTTGTGGCAGTATCCCTTAGTTTAGGCTGGTAGAGCAATTCTTAGGTTGCACTAGAGGGGCCCAAAAGGGCCTATGAGCCAGTCTTATTATGTGCATTAGAGTTAGTTCTAGTCTCCCTCAGTTAGCTTGTTGTAATTTAATTTTGGTATTGTGCCTATTCCTAAGCCTTATTGGTTATGGGCTGATGGTGGCTGATAATTGCAGGATGCTTATTTTTGTACTGTTCTAGGTGTTTATGGTACCAGCAAAGACTATGTGTTTTATTTGGTTTTCTTTTAAATCATTCACTGCTGTAGGAGAGCCCAGTGATTCTTTCAGAACCAGGGACAGTTTTACCCCCCCAAGGGACATTTGGTAATATCTAGAGATATTTCTGTCATATCTAGGAGATGGGAAAAGATGGATGAGGTATTTCTGACATGCTGCTCAAGATCTACAGTGTATAGACAGCACCCCCCCCACCTCAGTCTTATTTGATTCCAAATGACAATAGTGCTGAGATTGAGATTGAGAAGCCCTTTATTAGGAAGAGCGATATTTATATCATCTAACAAAATATGCAGCTGGGCACAGTGGTGCACTCTTGTAATCCCAGGGAGGCTGAGAAAGGAGGACCACAAGTTGGAGGCCAGACTTAGCAATTTAGCAAGACCACTTCAAAATAACCATTAGAAAGAGCTGGTGATGTAGCTCCATTCTGGAAGTAGTACCCAAGAATCACAAATTAAGAACCTTATACTTTTCCAGAGTGCCCTGGAAGGCTTATTTATTACATTTGCTATGGGATGCAACCTTTGATGAATGTTGTAGGGATTCTAGGTGAGCAGGGCATAGATGTGTGCTGTAGGACCTTTAAAGGAGGTGAGATAGGTATAATGTTACTGTGTGAAGCAAAACCTGGCAGCTGTCAGGAGAGATTCATAGAGGTGGAGTGCTTCAGCCTTGGGGTGGAATGAATCATGAAGTAATTTACTAAGGGCTCAGCATTTAAAATGGCCTTTCAAGATGATGGGCTTTTAGCCAGTGGTTGTGGAGAGAGGAATCTCAGGGTAACAGAACACACATATAGGATTATATAAGCAGATTCTGATTTAGCTGGAAATGTAGATATCAGGTGGTATGGCAAGGCCACAGGTCAGGCAAATGTGCAGAACCCTCAATGGCCTAGGAGTTGATTCTCAATGGTATAGCTCATAGAGAGATACAAGATTTTAGAGTAATAAAATAATGAGGTGGATTCTGTTCTTACAAAAGATTCAAATGAAAATGGCTTCCAGTTAAGAGTTTTCGGGGGAAAGGCTGAAATTGTGGAGCTAGTTAAGAGACTGGTCCAGCCCTCCCTGATCAGAGGAAGGGTGAGCCTGATTTAGAAGTGCATGCGAATCTATAAAGGGGAGAAGGGAGCTGTCAGATACCTCTTAGGTTTGAACCTGGGCAATCAGAAAGCTGAGTGTATTGCTACAGATACAGGAAAGGACTGGGGTGGAATGGGGGAGTCATAGTAGATGGAGAGGTTCACCCATTTGTCTTTAAATGTTTTTTCTTCCCCTCCTCCAAGTGTTATAAGGAATGATTCTGACTTTTCTCTTCTGTCTATATGGAGGGAGGGGTTTCTTTAGTGTAAATTTTGTCTGAGTTGGGTGCTGAAGTAATTTATTTGGTTCTGAGGATTTAGAGAGTGGAAATCTCCATTTGCTGTAGCAGAAGGCAGGGCACACAGCACTAGGTGTGGTCTCTAGACTGCTTTCACTCTTCTATCAGGTCCCTGTGGGGACTGGGAGAGAGAGGAATGGAAGACCATGTGTGTAAGTAGCTTTAATGATTGCATAGGTGGTGGTAGTAGTTATTGATTTTATTTTTGTGTATATGTATGTATGCATGTATGTATATAAATGCTTATTTAATGAATCAGCCAGCTTATTTACTAAGTTTCCCTGTTGATTTTTTTGTGGATTCCAGTATTAATTTTTAAATCTTCTATAGGTATCTCTGGAACAAACTGTCATTCCGGTGTTGGATAACACCAGTTTGGGGGTAAGCACAGGTCAATCTGTGGACAGAGGCAACAGCCAGACCTTTGGGAACGCTCAGAACATAGGAGAACAGGCCTTTCCATCTGCAAACTCTAGTGACAGCAGGTGAGATTCAGAACTGCCGAATTTGTTCTCCTCATGAGATGAGGACAGTCTAACCTTATCCTTAAGGACTATGGAGGATGGGATTCTAAAGCTTTGGGCCAAGATCTTTTTTTTTTTTGGTGGTGGTGGTGGTGGCAGTGGGGGTGTGGGGAATCATACTCACTTTATGCATGGCAGATGTACACTCTACCACTGAACTACAGATTCAGCCAGGACCAGGTTCTGACTATCACAAATCATATGAGATGCTCATAAGTCATTGCTTACCCATACCTGTGTGATGGGGCTAATGATCTATGCTCTGCCTTTCTCACAGGATAGTTCCCTCAGAGACATAGAAATATGTCAGACATTATGAAAGAGTACAGGGCTTGAGGAAGGGGGTCTAGACAAATCTCTTAGTCATCACTGCCCTGGTGGCATGATACTGTGCGTGAGATATGAATGTACAATGAGTGAGTCACTCATTGTGGCCAAACATGGCTTTTTTTTTTCCTGTTCCTGAGTATCCAGAAGAATAAGAAGAAGCTTTCTGTATCTTATTTGCTTGAGCAATTATCCCTGCTTTAAAAAAAAATGAATTATTAATGTATGTATGTATGTTTGTGTATTTGCAATGCTTGGGATTGATCCCAGTGCATCCTGCATGCTAGGTGAACACTCTACCACTGAGTTACATCCCCAGCCCTTTTAATTTTGTGACAGGGTTTGCTAAGTTGTCATTTGGAGTCCTCCTGCTTCAAACCTTCTTGACTAGCTGGTATTACAGGCATGTGCCAATGTACCTTGCTTAAAATATTAAAAAAATTTAATCAATGTATGATAAGTTTACATATTTATGGGGTAATGTGCCCTGGATTTTAATGCTGTTTTCAATTTTTGATAAATTTCTTATTTCCTCCCCAGCTATGTTTGTTTTATAATAATTCTGCCCAAGCTGTTCTTGTTGCCTCACTATACTGACTATGTGGTCTTTGAATTAATGATCTAAGAAAATTTGACTTTTACACCCCTTTCCCTAATAGCAGAAGGTTCTCTGTACTGTTTATTTGGCTGGCTCCTGCCAGCAGTCACTGTTTTCTTAACGTCATAAAATCTGTGCTGGTTTCACCTCTGCCTCATCCACTGCACTACTTTCATTCTGGCCAGTAGAGGCGATGATCAGTTCAGTCCTGGACTTCTTTACTCTCTGACTTCTCCCAGGCCCATATCCCTGGCAAAACCAGGCTGGCTTTTTGACTGTGTCCATGGGTGAGATTGGAAGAGCTGCCCAGTGCACAGGGAATACCTCCATCTACCTCATTGTGTGAGGGTAGAGTGGCAGGTTTGCTTCTGCTTTTAGAAGAAAAGAGGAAATAGGGATGTTTTCGTTGGAGGTGAGAAGACCAAAAATGACACAGCAGGCAGAATCAGGACTAATGATTGAAAATTACAGGTAACAGATTCCATTTCATGGTAAGGAAGTCATTAGCAATGGGTACTGCTGCATGGAGGAGCTTAGTCTGCCTTTGAAGGTGTTCTTGCAGGGAGGATAACTACTTGTCCAGATTCTTGGACTCTTCAGGATCAGAAGAAAATTCTGAAGTTTTTTTAAAAGACTTTTTACTAAACCTGAGATTTTGGAATGCTACAGTAAGTCTTGAACTTTCCAAATTGGCAAGCAGAGGAGTATGGAACAGAGGAAAAAGAGAGATTTAAGAAACTTGAATAAGCATCCATCTAAGTCCTAGACATGACCCATTTTGCTATGACTTGAAACTGTTCAGTTGCTGAGTATGAAGCATGTTTTCAGGAACTGTCATACTATTAGGGAGAGCATGGATAGCAGGTTATAGAAACTGGATGTTGTTTCTTCTTTAAAAAATAACTTTATTTTATTTATTTATTTTTATGTGGTGCTGAGGATCAAACCCAGTGCCTCAAACAAGCCAGGTGAACACTGCACATTAAGCCACAGCCCCAGCCCTGGCAGCAGGTTATAAAAAGAATCTGGATTTTGGAATATGATTGACCTGGATTCAGATCCAGACTCTGGGGCTTCTCAGCTCTTTGACTTTCACCAGTTCCTGCAACCAATCTAAATTTCAAAGTGTTGAAGTTATTATTTTGTTTGGTATTGTTTTCCATATTGGGGCTTCACATATATCAGTCCTGTATTCAGTAATATACATATATTAGCCTCGGAGCTACCCTGAAAGGCAGGAATAGTATTATTGCTGTTTTTCAGATTAGGAAACTAAAGTCAAGAAAAGCCAGAGGTCCTATAGCTGGGATGATACTGGGATTCTGGTTAGAATAGAGCATAGACCCCATGCTCTGACGATAACTACCTAGCACTGTGGTCAGGATGAGATAAAGTGACATGTAAAAGGCTTTTTGGACAAAACTAGACCAGTCCAAGGAGATTTCTTGGAAATGGTTGGGCTTGAAACATATTATTAAATGGGGGAGATATTTATTAAGATATTTATTAATACATAAGACCACTTTGAATTCCTTTTATTTATTTTTTTTTAGTGAGTATAGTCAGGAAGTAGGAAAACCTCTGTGAAATATCCCCAGGATACTGCTGTTCAGAATTTGCTTGAATGCCTTCCGTTGTCAAGATTGCCCTAGTTTTTAGCACTTTAAAAAGTAGACCATGTTTCTAATATTTGTGCTTTTGCTCATGTGTGTGCCCTCTTGCTTTGTTATGCTCTGTGTTACAGTTCTCAGCAGCAGGCAGCAAGCTCCTTGACATCATCTTCTACCCTGGCAGAGATCCTGGAAGCCATGAAGCATCCCTCGTAAGTGGCTCATCATATATGTGGTGCAGGGGCAGGAGGTTCCTGAAGGCCTATGCCATGGCAATGCTCAGGCATTGTAGTTGGGTGGATTTATACCTGAATCTTCTACTTAACAGCTTTGAGACCATGGGCAAGTTACTTGACTTCTCTGAGCTTACCTATAAGTGTGGAGTTTCAAAAAGAGTGGATAAGCACATTGTTGGAAGGATTAAATGGAATAGTTATGTGACATAGTGTGATGCCTGATAAGTAAGATGTTCTCTAAATGTCACTTCCCTTCTTCCCCTTTATCTTTTTCCCCACAACACCTTTTGTTGTCTTGTTGGGATTTCTCTCGGTCTAGGAATTACATAAAGAAATTGATTTATGGGGGTTCTCATTTCATATAGTAAATGCTTTTTCTGACTTCTCATCTTCTCTTTCTGCTTGTTGCCACTGGACACACATACATGCTGACTGCATTGGAACCCAGGACAGGAGTTCAGTTGCTCTCTGAACAGAAGGGCCTCTCGCCATGCTGCTTTATCAGTGCTGAGGTGGTGCACTGGCTGATGAACAATGTGGATGGGGTCCATACGCAGGCAATGGCCATTGACATCATGCAGGTAAAATAGCAAGACAGGTCCTATAGAACTGTCTGTTCGGTCCCATCGGCAGGTTGGGTGAAAATCTGTTTTTAGTAAGTGTAAGGCATATATGGAGTTGATAAAAGGACAGGTTTTGCTTTGAAATATACTTTTTTATCTCAACTTAAAAATCTGGCAATTATTTATTACTTTAACTGAAACATTCAGAGAGGAATCTGCATTTTTGAATCTAGTAATCTCTGTGAAAGATTTTTGGAGAATATTCTTCTCCTGACCTCAAGCCCACAGTTTACCCTTGTTAATTCCTACTTATTGAAGACCTGAGCCTGAATTCAAGGCTCTCTTTCAGGAGCTTCTAGTGCCCTGTACTACTTTGTCAGAGTACTTAGCAAGCCAGAGTGAAGAATCTGTCTATATAATCTCCTGCCCAGAGAGTGTGCCACCTCTTAGTGTCCATTTGTATATCATTGGTGCCTTGTATTTTGCTTGGTACGTGGTAGGCACTTAGCAGACACTTGCTGAATTTAATTATGCTGTTCAGAACTAGAACCAAACATGAGAGGAGAGAATTGGGTAAGGTTGAGTGACTGAGTTGGTTCATACCATCCTGTCCATATAAAGATCCCTACTAGAAATTGGTGGTTTGTTAAGCAACTGGATTGTCAATAAAATTATTTGAATTAGCATGTGATCCTCAGCTCTTCCTTTGAGGATCTCAATGTGCTATTTTTCATAGTCTTTCCCTAAAAACTTTATATACTTCCATCACTCTGAGAATACTATTTCTTTGTTCATATAATGAATGTTACTACAGCAGTTAAAACAAAATGAACTAAAAGTATATGTATCAACATGGATAAATGTCAGAAGCATGATGTTGATGAAAACTAATTTATAAAATGATATAGTATTGTATCCTTTATTTAAAATTTCAGCTTGGTGCAGTGGCACACTCCTATAATCCCATCTACTCAGGAGGCGAGAGGTTTACAAGTTCAAGGCCAGTTTGGGCAGCTTAGTGAAACCTTGTCTCAAAATACAGTTAAAAAAAAAAAAGGATTGGGGATGTAGCTCAGTGGTAGAGTAGCCCAGGGTTTAATCGATAGTAACATAATCAATCAATCAATCAATCAATCAGTGAAATTAAAAAATAAAATAAAATCCCACAAGAACACCTCACTGTCATGTCAATACATATCCATATAATAGCATTTTAAAAAAACTTGCTTGAGAATATTGCTCTTATCATTTATTTCTGAGGAAAGAGTGGTCCATAGGTTTTGTTTTTTTTTTTAAAGTGAAAAGAACTGAAGTCAGTACAGTAACGCCCCTTCACTCCCTTATCCCAGTTTCACTTTCCAAAGTTTCGGTTAGCTCTGGTCAGTTGTGGTCAAAAAATATAAATGAAAAATTCCAGAAACAAATAATTTGAGTTTTATTATAGTAAATTCTTATAATTGTTCTGTTTTATCATTATTGTTAATCACTTACTGTGCCTAATTTACACGTTAAACTTTGTCATAGATATGTATAGGAAAAAATTATATGGTTGTCCTCTAGTATCTGTGGATTGTTTCTAGGACCCCTATGGGTATCAAAATCTGTAGATGCTCAATCTTTGTATATCTTCTCATATATTTAAATCCTCTATGGATTACTTATGATACCTAATACAATGCAAATATTTGTGCTGCATTGTTTAGGGAATAATGACAAGAAAAAGTTCATACATGATCATAAAGATGGAACTTTATTTTCAAATATTTTTGATCCAAAGTAGGTTGAATCCACAGATTCAGAGAGCTGATTGAATATCTAGGGTTCAGTATTACCTGTCTTTTCAAGCATCCTTTGGCAGGGGTCGTAGAACATATCTCTCTCAGAAAAAGTGGGGCTACTGTATAGCAAAATGTTAAATTTGATAGAGCTGAATAGTGGTCTACATGGATTTTTTTCTATGTTTTTCTGTACGTTTGAAATATTTGATAATATACATGTAATGATATGACTTATACCAGGATAATATTTAGCACAGTACAATCTTTATGTCTAGTGGGTAGTTTGAAGATAGGGTCTCCTTAGTGCTCCTATTACTCCCTTGACTCTACTGCACAATTGGGGACTATCCACTCTGAGAAGTCCCTTTGCAGAAACTTCAGAGTTTCATTGTCTCTCCTAGAAAATGCTGGAAGAACAGCTCATCATGCATGCATCTGGTGAAGCCTGGCGGACCTTCATCTACGGTTTCTATTTCTACAAGATAGTAATGGACAAAGAGCCCGACCGAGGTCAGAAGCAAGGCAAATGCAGTGGCCCACAGGAGTGGGTGTTTTTCTGGTGACCTACTGTTTCACTTGATGGCTTCTTGAGCTCCATGTGTGACTTTATATTCTAAGTTGACATTTGAGCATTTGTATTTAAGCATAACCAGAGAGAAAAGTTTCTTAAGCTATAGTATGTTCTTGTTGAGGACAATGTAGGTGGAAGATAAACCTAAAAGAGGCCAAAGGACCTGGTATGAGAATTCTCACAGCATTTTTTGGTACTGATTTTAAATATAGCACCTTACCTCTCCATTCCCACCTGGTGCAGGTGGTTTTGATGATGACATAATGGTCTCCAATCTGTGATTTATAGCACTTCTTACTTCCTGGGTTTCCAGGCTCCAGATATTCTCTCAGGAAGTCTGTCAAGTCCTCACAAGTTTTCCAGGATATGTTTTTTTTTTTTTATTGTTGGTAGTTCAAAACATTACACAGTTCTTAATATATCATATTTCACAGTTCAGGATATGTTTTAAGTATAGTCATCCTTTGGTATTAGAGTGATATTGGTTCCAGGACCCATTTTCTCCAGGATACAAACATCTGTGGATGCTTAAGTCTTTTATATCAATGCATAGTATTTGCATATAATGTGTCTACATCCTCCTATACACTTTAAATCATCTTTAGATGACTTATAATACTTAGTACAATGTAATTGCTATATTGTACTATATTATCTAAGAATAATGAAAAGAAAAATGTCTGTGTAGGTTTAGTATAGAAGCAGTTTTTTTTTTCTGAATATTTTGAATATGTGATTGATTAAGTCTGTGAGTGCAGAACTCATGCATCCAGGAAGCAGATTTGTTTATTTATTTACTTTTTATGGTGCTGGGGATGAACCTATGTTCTTATGCATGCTAGGCAAGTACTCTACGACTGATCCACACCCCCAGCCCTTTAAAAAAAAAAAAAACATATACAAGGAAAAATAATCCCCAGAGAGAAGCAGTTTCTCATGTGGCCATGGTGAGAGCTGACTTGTTTAGTTCTGGAGGCACCCAGGACTCAGACCAGCCTCTCTTGTACATGTAGCACATGTGTGGACCTTGGCTGGAAGTGACTTCCATCCTGCAGACAGATAGTTTCTCCACCTTTAGGTCTAAAAATCATACATGAATTGATGCAGCTGGTGCCACTCACTGTGCTGTTTTGTCCAAGGATGTGACAGAAGTGGGAACTTTTCCCTTGTAGCCACTAGTATGTCCATTGTCACTTTTTTTCTTAAATAATTATTTTTAAATAAATAAGTAAACACTTATTTTTGCCTTCAAATTGAAGGGGAGGGGGTTTACCAGTATATGCTCTGAAATTATGGGTATAAAATTGAATATAAATTACTTGTTCCAATGAAATTCATATAACATATAATTAACCATTTTAAGGGCATTTAGTACTTGTGCAACCACCACCTCTGACTAGTCCCAGACTATTTTCATTACTGTCTAAAGATTTTCCTATTTTGGACAAATTTTATAAATGGAGTCATACGATATGTGGTTTTTATGTCTAATTTCTAGCGTATGTTTTCAAGGTTCATCCATGTTGTAGCATGCATCAGTGAGAAAATAAGCATTTGTACTGAGGTATCCTTCTCTCCCTTCTGCTTTTTTTCAGTGGCCATGCAGCAACCCACTGCCACCTGGCACACTGTAGGCGTGGATGACTTTGCTAGTTTCCAGCGCAAGTGGTTTGAGGTTGCCTTTGTGGCAGAAGAGCTCTTGCACTCTGAGATTCCTGCCTTTCTCCTACCCTGGCTGCCCAGCCGGCCAGCCTCCTATGCTAGCAGGCATAGCTCCTTTAGCCGCAGTTTTGGAGGACGGAGCCAGGCAGCTGCACTTTTAGGTAAATACTAGCTTGATCTAGCTGGATGTGGGGATATATTGGCAGGTGCCTGGGAAAGGGTAGCAGCCAACCAGGGAATGATGCCATGTGAACCAGAATTAGACCTTTTGTTACTCCAATACTTTCCACTGTGTCTGTTGACACTGTGCTGTTTTCCACTGGCTGAGCGGATCCAGTTTCATTTTTTCCCAAGCAATAGATAGTATTTAGCACCTCTTAAATCAGAGCATGGTGCCAAATGTACATTTATAGGAGGGAATAGAAAATGTGGCCACTTTTGGTGAGAGCCCTCAGGATACAGGGAATATAAGCTGGTGCTCACTGCAGGTTTAATTCCTGTCTGAGGCCTTGAAGACTAGCATCCTAGGATCTCAGAATAGGAAGAAACCTGAAAGGTTATCCATTCAAGACACTTCAGCTGAGCATGAATCTTCCCTCATTCCTTCTTCCCCAAATATACTTACCACACTCAAAGATATAAATTGGAACTCTTATTCCCTTTCCATAATTCCTACAGCTCTTAAGATAGCAGTAAATACCTGTTTATCAAAAGATGGTGACATCTGATAGGAAATGGAGACCTCTGCTCTGAAGGAGAGGCCCTGTGGATTGTTTAGAGAATACATACCCTTGGTGAATCACCACAGAATTTATCTCTTAGTCAGGTTGCAGAGATCCTGAAAACCTTTGGAAGAAAGGAAGAGCATAATAGACCAAATTCCAGTGAAATGTTACATTTTTCCTTGCCTGTAAAAGCTCAGCTAATTAGAATTCTGATCTGGCTGGTAGGATGGAAAGGTTAATAGCCATCACAGATCCTCAGATTTGCTTAGATCTGGGTGGATGAGCCACCCTTGCTCCAATCTAAGGACAATATCTCCACTTGTGCTCAATACCCTTGCTTATAGTACTTGGACTGATTTTAACAGGCATTGCCTCTCTCTGAACTCTTCCTCTCTAGTAAAGCATCTTCATCAAGCATCTCTGCCAGTCTCCAACAGGTAGACTCTGTCCTGTTGCAAAAGCCAATCAAAACAGAACAAAACAAAACAAAACAAAAAAATGGGAAGCTTGTATCAGATTTTCCTTTGTCCTCTCCTCTGGAGCAACCCTTCTCAAGCATACCAAGGAGCTCCACATTGCTTAATAAAGTGGCCTAGTCCTTTTGCCGTCAGTAGCATTTGTTTGATAATCTCTGACTCCTTTAAATAGTTTTCTTTATTGGTTCCTAAGGTAATTGGTACAATATGGCAGAATGTCTCCTGACATTGCTACAGTGTGCCTCTCAGCTCTCCTATTTTTGTTAGTCTCCTTTGCTCATATCTCTTCAGCAATCTGATCTTTCAACATTGCAGCAGGTAGGCCTCGTTCCATAGGCTGGTAGAGCCTTCTCTGGGCCCTATCTTTATGTCTTGAAGCATCTTGTGAAGGTCATTCAGTGTCTTTCATTATCCCAAGGTCTAATCACTGCTAAATTTTCATCTCTATCCCACATACTTTCCAGTTTGAGACTCATCCATTCATCTCCTTGACTATCAATTAGATGGCTAAAGTACATTGTTTAGAGCTCTACCTTCCCATTCCCTTGCCACCATCATCTCCTTCTCCTTTAGTCTTTTCTTGTCATTTTGGTTACTTAGGCCAGGCAGGAATCTCAGTCACTTTCCTGTTCTTTCTTTCCCACTCTACATCTAGTCCATCAACAAGTTCTGTCTTTCTTTTATCTACCTTCAGTATTCCAAGCCACTGTCATCTCCTGCATGTGATACTGTAATCACCTCTTGAGCTTTTTTTCCCCCATTATCTGTTTTCCACACAGAATACAGAGAGACCACTTCAGATGTAAGTAGGATCATGTTTTTTTTTTTTTTTCTAGGCAGCATTCTCTCGTGACTTTCATCTCACTGGAATTAAAAAAGCCAGTCTTCAGCCTCTCAGGCTCTCCCTGATGTGAGCTTCTTACTCTGCCCTATCTTCTGTGGTGGTCCTATGCCCTTTGCTGACCCACATTGGCTTTTGTGCACGTAGCTCAACATGCCAAGCATATTTCTGCTTCTGGCTTTTTCCTTCTACCTGAGATAACATTGCCTTGGATAGCCTCAGGAATTCTTCCCTTTAAGTTTCTCCTTCAAGGTCACACGTGATTGAGGTCTTCCCTGATCCCCCTACAGTCTCTGGGCCCCTGACACCCAACCTTTGTCTGCTTTGCTCTTATCACCTCTGGACAGTGTGTATGTGTGTGTGTGTGTGCGTGTGTGTGTACAGCTTGTGAGTCCTTCCAAGGATTTAAGTCCTTCCAAGGACTTAAGGTATGTGATGAACTTCTTTTTGTTAACTGATTGTCCTCACTCCTACTCAATACATAGTTGGTTTCTGTTAATACTTGTTGAATATATGAAAAAATATTAATGAATGTAGTTCGGCAGAATTTGGGGAGATTGAATTTGGAACATTAGATCTGGAATCGTCAAACCTGAGCAATTAGTTGCTGAATTGTCAGAAAAATAGTAGTTGTTCTGCTGTTCATTCTGTTGAAGATGCTACCAGCCCAGCAACAGACAAGCTGCCCATCCCCTTTCTTTCATCTCCTTCCCCTGTGAAAAGACAAGGAGATGTGTGCATGGTCCCAAACCTCTTGCTGCACTTACTACTTGTGCAGTTATTACTTCTGGAAAATGCTACCAGTGTTGTCATCTTGACATACTTAGTTTCTGGAAGCTCTGTTGACAGTGTATATTCAAATATCCTCCTTTCTAAAGTCTTCTTCTATAGGCTGGTAAAATCCTCTCCTGACTGTCATAGTCTTTTGTTCAAGATGGGATTCAGATTATCTCAGTTTAGCTTTGGTTCTTAGTGCTTAAAAAGAGCAGTCTATAGAAAAAATAAAGTCATGTGCTCCCAAAAAAAAGGAGAGTAGAGAGGAAGATAAGTTTTATGTCCAGGGCAGGAAGTTGATTGGACTGGTGTTTGCTATCTGGGGTCTGTGTATGGGCTTTAGTGAATCTGAAACTAGGCAGAATTTTGCATGTATGCTTTCTGGGGAAACATCCTTTTATTAGCAAAAGTAGCTCCCATGTTGTTATAGTGGAATTTTATTCTTTCAGCCTCTTTGCCTATCACTTCTCCATAGGAAGTGGTTTTCTTTTCCTTTTAAATCTGATAGCTAGTTCTATCTAGTGACAACTCTCAGACCTTTCTGTTAAGATACGAGATGTTTCACTGCAGCATTTTTCCAGGTTAGAATATAGACTTTTACTGTGTCATTTCTTTATTTATTTTCTTGGGTACTGGGGATTGAACTCAAGGGTACTCCACTACTGAGCCACATCCCCAACCCTGTTTTTATATTTTATTTAGAGACAGGGACTCACTGAGTTGCTTAGCACCTTGCTTTTGCTGAGGCTTGCTTTGAATTTACAATCCTCCAGCCTCTGAGTTGCTGGGATTAGAGGCGTGTGCCACCATGCCTGGCTTGTGTCATTTATTTAAGTAACAAAGATCTATTGTGTTTATTAAATTATTGTGGTGCTGGGAAGGGAACCCAGTGCTTCACATATGCTAGGTTAGTGCTTTCCCACTGAGCTACATCTCTACCCCAAACTATTGTCTTTAAATTGGATCATCATCAATGTTTGAATTTTTCTTCAGAAAAAAAATATTATCACTCATAATGGAAGAAAGGCCTATATATTATATGTGACCTGTTCCTTTTCCATTTGCTTTTTGTGTGTTTCTTTTGACATGTTCCTTTTTAAATACTTTTGATTCTCAATTGGCCCTTAGTAGTTGGAAATTGTTTTGAAATCCTTAACATTGGCAAATGGTCCTATCTGGATTCACTCATGGTAAGTTTCACTTCCCTGTGTTGCTGAGTTGGGAAGCTACAGGGGCATCTGAGAATCTGGAAGAAGCAATGCCATATGCCTGAGCCTCTTCACAAGTCTTCTACTTGTCAGCTTTTTCTTTTTTGGGGGTACTAGGGATTGGACTCAGGGGCACTTGACTACTGAGCCACATCCCCAGCCCTATTTTGTATTTTATTTAGAGAGAGGGTCTCACTGAGTCGCTTAGCACCTTGCTTTTTCTGAGGCTGGCTTTGAATTCTGAATCTTCCTGCCTTAGCCTCCCAAACCACTGGGATTATAGGTATGTGCCACTGTGCCTGGCAGGTTTTTTTTTTTT